AGGTGAGCCCCGGAAGAAGCGGTTGCGGTCTGCGTAGCGACGCGAGGGTCTGACGGGGAGATGGACGTGCGTGGCGGCCGCCCGGACTGTCGCGCCGCGGAGGATCACCCTCCCCGGGAGGGGCGGCGGGGGAGGATTGGACGCGGGAGGGCGTCGCGGGCGGGAGTCGGGCTGGGCTGTGAGGCGGGATCCCGGGGACGTGCCTGTGGGACGCGAGGCAAATGCACGAGTTTGCGAGAGGCGGGGGCGGGCGGGGAGTTGCCATCACGGGGTGGGCCCTGAGTCTCGTGGGAGGGGGCTGAGGACACTTGCGGGGCCCCCGAAGGTGAGGGGGCGCCGGCGCGGGGAGGGTGGGGGGCCGCCTGGTTCCCGCGGCTCTCGTGCCCCTCGCCCCCCGCGCTCACACACTAGCTGCCTTCACAGGAAGGGCGCGGCTGTTTGCATAGATGATGAAGCAGATGGGTTATCTTGTCCAAAAGATAAAAATGCGCATTTCCCTTCTAAAGTATGGAACCTCAAGGTCTTGGTGAGAATGGAAACAAAAAAATTGATTGGCAAATCGCTTCAACCAGCAAGACCTGTTCGTCATCTGACTTCTCCCTCTGGTGAGTCATGTCGGGCACACATCTTTAAATATTAATTGGTTAGTGGCTAATTAGCATTTAAAAGGCTAAATTGTACATAAAGTAATTGTTTATGGTGAATATTAAAGAAATGCTGAAAACTAATGATCTCCTCAGAAGAATTTAAAAGTATTACCAAAGGAAAGAATTCTTAATAGTCTACCAGACCAACAAAAGTAGGAATAATAAACCTGATGTGAGAGCAACTTTGTGTATTTTTCATGGTTAACTGGCTTCTGTGCAAAATGGCTCAGTGTAAATTGTGCCTGTGATTATGATCACTGCAGTGCAGTCATGCTGGAGAGAGAATTAACCTTTAAAAAAAATACCCAACTGCAAAAAAAGAGATTAGTACCAAACACCTTAAGACTGTGCTTGAGTTGGGACATATAATGTAATCAGGAAATCAAACAAACAAAATACATCTAAAATTAAGATTTTTCTTTTACTCATAAAACTAATCTTTTGAACAATTCTTAAAATACTTGGTTTTCAAGTCCTACATTGAAATATTAGCCATTTTATTCTTTTTATTATTTGTTGTCAGAATGGCTTCTGTATTCTCTGCTCTCTTTAGTCCACGTGTTTAACTAAATAATGGGCTACTCAGAGAAAGGAAAACATAGCCCTTTTATAGGGTTCACAGGTGAATCGGGGAAGATGGACGGCTCCAAGCCCTCAGGCCTCTTTCTCTCCCAGCCTTGGTTCCCACCCGGAAGAGCCCTTGGTCACGCCCTTTGGAGATGCTGTGACTGAGGGGACACAGAGTCATTGAGAGTCTCCGAACTTGGCTCAGCTCTGCTGCTGCTCCTGGTGCTGAGGAGCGGCTGTGGGGTCACCTCTAGATGGTGTCCTGCAGGGAAGAACACAGCCATGGTCAGCAGCTCCTTTCTGTGACCCTGTCACCTGTGCAGATTCAGGGTCACTGACCCTTCCAAGGCCACTGCAGGGGTCAATGGGGGGCGGGCAGGGAGCCCTGATTCCTCATTGAATTATATCCTTTTAAGATCCAGGCAAGAGTGGGGTTCTATTAGGTAAAGTTTAATAAATCAGAAGTTATTTTGGCTTTTCTCAACATACTTCTGCATTTCTTGTCTATTTCATGTCCCCAAAGAAATATTTTTCTTTAAAACCCAGATTGAATTACTTTCTTTTGTGAAGACTTCCTTGATGTCTCAAAGCCCACCAAGCTCTCCCTTGGCATTTTCTCGTAACATCTCATAGGACTTATTCTTTCCTGTCATCATTTATGAGCTTGTGCTTTAAAATAGACTGTGGCCCCTTTTATCTCTGAACTCTTCACACTTATATACCTTGTCAAACACAGTGGCTGATATTGCATAGTGTTGAATAAATAAACTATCAAAAAACATTTTAAAACAGTGCTTAGAATATCCTGGACAATTAGTTTTTAGGTGATAGTATATCATTTATTGAAAACATAGATATTTAAAACAGTTTTCTTTTTTCTCTCCTAACAGGAGCAGTATTCCCTTTCAACTTTCAAAATGAATATCCATGCAACACTCAGTACTTGCAAAGCGGAGTTAGCCGAGTAGGTCTTAGAAATTACGGTAACATGAAGTGTTACAGGCTGGAAAGTAACATCGTCAGATGGCTTTGTGTGCCAGCTACTTTGCTAAGTGCTTAAATACTTTTTAAAACTTTATATATTTCAAGCATTTCTAAAAAGGATAAAACACTTACTATACTTGTTGCCCAGCATTTTCAAATCGAAACCTTTTCTATATTTTAGGAAATTTTAAAAACCTTGCAGATGTATAAAACTGCCACATGTTTCTCTTCTAACCCATTCCTTCCCACACTTCTCCAAAATAACTGTCCTCAATGCCATTGTTTCCATGTTTACATCAGTACTTTTGCTACAACAAATAGAATTTTTTAATAATTTTATATAAATAGCATTGTACCCACCTATTTTTTTTTTACATTTAGATTTATATTGTTAAAATTCTAATTTAATTTTTTGGCTAAGTGAAATAATCACCAAGGTTAAAATTAAAAACAGGCCAAATGGCCTTTAGTGAAAAGTTTCCCTCTAGACTCCATCCCCCACTCACCTATTTCCTCTGACCAGAAGTAGCCATTGTACCTGTTTCTTATCTAGATACTTCCAGAAATGGTGTTCATTCTTATAGTTTATTAAATCTTGCAGTCAGTTAAGAATTTGTAAAACCAAATCTTTGGCATTGTCAAAATTCTATTTTTTCTGATGACTTATTCTGATGTCTCAGTGATGTAGGTTTGCCACCATTGCTCCTCATTGTGTTATAGGTTGGAACCCTCTGGCTTTAGGCAGAGTTATTATGCTAGACTTTGCAGATATCTAAGGAATGGGCTACAACTTGCTAACAGTGATTGATAGAGCAGAAATAATTCATTTATTTTATTTTTTAATTTTGTTTTTTTAATAAATCTTTATTGTTCAGATTATTACAGTTGTTCCTCTTTTTCCCCCCATAGCTCCCCTCCACCCAGTTCCAACCCCACCCCCTGCCCTTACCCCCCACTGTCCTTGTCCATAGGTGTATGATTTTTATTTTTGTGTATGGTGTAAGTTGGTGGTCTAGTTTCATTTTTTGCATGTATCTGTCCAATTTTCCCAGCACCATTTATTGAAGAGACTGTCTTGACTCCATTATATGTTCTTGCCTCCTTTGTCAAATATTAATTGAGCATATTGGTTCGGGTGGGATTTCTGGGGTTCTCTGTTCTATTCCATTGATCTATATGTCCGTTCTTGTGCCAGTACCAGGCGGTTTTGAGAACAGTGGTTTGTAATACAGCCTGATATCTGGCATTGGAGATCCCACCTACTTTGTTCTTCTTTCTCAGGATTGCTGCAGCTATTCTGGGGTCCTTTTTTTTCCA